ATGCAGTGGCACGATCTCTGCTCACTGCAACATCTGCCTTGCAGGTGCAAGCCATTCTGCCTCAGCCTCCCGAGTAGCTGGGACTACAGGCATGTGCCACCATACCTGGCTAATTTTTGTACTTTTAGTAGAGACGGGGTTTCACCTTATTGGCCAGGCCAGTCTCAAACTCCTGACCTCTTGATCTGCCTGCCTTGGTCTCCCAAAGTGCTGGGATTACAGGCATGAGCCACTGCACCTAGTTGTCCTCTCCTGATTTTAGAGCAGTCTGAGTAGCCTCTGGTAGAACCTGCTGACCAGTGGCTGGACAGACCCTGGCACCCCAGACCCTTCCAGACAGGGCTGCACATGGTGGTTGCTCTCCCCTCCCCAGGATCCCCATGTGCTTGAAGAGGCGATGCCCCCCCACTGCCCTGCAGGGCTGCAGCTGGGAGTCGACTCAGGGAACAGCGTGTTATCAAAACGCAGAGGAGTTCAGATTCTGCCTCAGATGCCAAAGCCACTTACATCATGCTGCAAATTAATTCAAGGAAAGATACGAGGCATCGTTTATGCCCTTTAGCTAATAAAAGGGCACGCAAAGCCATCAGTTTAATATCTGCGCACTTTGTTACACGCATTTCCTATTTTATAACCTCCACTTCCCCCAAGTAAACTTGGAGTGGAACACTTTCCCTGGTTCCGTGAGTGTACCTGCAGCTTTGTGCATCATTTCTACCTAACAGACGTGGCTCCTGCTATCAGCTCTGGGCCACCACAGTCCCCAGGTCCCCTGGCCTTTCCCGTGACTGTGTGGCAGTGGCTGGGCTGCCTGCATCCTGCTGGGTGCTGGCTTACACAGGCCGTGGGACGTCCTCTCAGGGTTTACACCACTTGCCCCAGCTGGTGGGGTGAGTTCAGGGCAGGGTGCTCTCTGCAGATAACAGGTGGGGGGGACGGTAAAGCCTCCTGAGTGTCCGTCATCCTGAAGCCAGAACACAGGGTGCTCCAGCAGACAGAGTGTCCTGCTCAGTCCCAATGCCTGGACACTCTCCCCTGGTGACTTGCGAAGTGATGGTTTGCTCTCTGCTGAAAGGGCCGTTTGACAGAGGCTGTTAGAGGAAGGTGCTGGTCATTTCTCAGGCCATGGTCAGTCTGAGGTCAAGCAGTAAATTATTTAGCCATGCAGAGACACAGGTGAATCTTCGATGCATCTTGCTAAGTGAAAGAAGCTAGTCTGAACTTACAGGCTCTGTGATTTCAACTATAAGATATTCTGGAAACTCTTAGGTTGGTAAACACATCAGTGGTTGCCAGAGAATCGGGCAGGGTGGGGAAGGGGGAAGATTGACTGGATGATGCCCAGGGAATTCTTTCAGGGAGGTGGGACTGTTCTGTGTGATTCTGTGACAGCGGAAACGTAACACTATCTATTTACCAAAGCCCATGCAACTTTACAGCACCAAGAGTGAGCCTTAAGGTATGTAAATTTGTAAAAACTCATTTAGGAGGTTGGGAAACCCCAGGACGGAATGCAGAATGTGACAGGGAAAAGAACCCAACTGTATTACAAATTTAGAGACAACCTCACTGAAGGGAGTGGAGGAAAATGGGGCTGGGGCAAGCCACACGGGAAATAAGTGGCGTTTGCAACATTAAATGCAAAGGAGCTGTGCGTAGACTCTGCTCTCTAGTTGATAAGGTTGTTTCACATGGGCTGTGGGCCGACAGTTTCGATGCTGCTGTGCGTGCACACTGGAATTGAACAATTAAGTGCACGGATGGTGGATGGTGGGAGCTGGGTTCTGCACTGTGCAGTGAGAGGTAGTCACAGGCCGAGGAAGGAGGACTGGGATGGTGGTTGGTGGAGCTGGGGTTGCACTTGCTGTGCAGTGAGAGGTCTGAGCGAGGAAGGAGGAGAGAGGGGACTGGAATGGCGCCATGTAGTGGTGAGTCCGAGTTGCAGCCTCAGTAGCCATTTGCGTTTGGCTTCATGTAGATATAAATATTCACATGAGCTGGTCTGAAACCAAAGCTATGCCACTCTGGGGCTGAGGGAAGCTGAGAGGCCAAAGAGAAGAGGCTGGGCAGATCATTGGTTCTGCAGAAAAGCATTGGTGATTTCAGAGGCGCCCGGTGGCTCCCATCTGAAACTCCAGCACTTTGGCAGGCCGAGGCAGGCAGATCACGAGGTCAAGGGTCAGGAGGTGTCCTGGCCAAAATGGTGAAACCCCACCTCCTACTAAAAAAGCCCCAAAAATTAGCTTTGGCGAGGCTTGGTGGTTTTGTGAGATTCCAGCTGCTCAGAGAGCTGAGGCAGGAGAATTGCTTGAACCCAGGAGACAGAGGTTGCAGTGAGCCGAGATTGCGTCACTACACTCCAGCCTGGTATTAGAGTGAACTCCATCTCAAAAAAAAAAAAGAAAAGAATGAAACATTTAACGAGGACTCCACAAGGATGGTGGATGGTGGGAGCTGGGTTCTGCACTGTGCAGTGAGAGGTCACAGACGAGGAAGGAGGGACTGGAATGACGCATGTGGTGGTGGGTCAGAGTTGCAGCCTCAGTATGTTTGCACGTTTAGCTTCATGTAGATATAAACTCTTCCATGAGCTGGTCTAGGCAAAGCTACCCCTGGGGCTGAGGAAGCTGAGAGGCCAAAGAAAGAGGCTGACAAATCCAGTTTCTTAGAAAGAAACATTTAGGTCAGGCGCGGTGGCTCACATCTGAAACTCCAGCACTTTGGCAGGCCGAGGCAGGCAGATCACGAGGTCAAGAGATCGAGACCATCCTGGCCAAAATGGTGAAACCCCACCTCTACTAAAAATACAAAAATTAGCCGGGCTTGGTGGTGCACACCTGTAGTCCCAGCTACTCAGAAGGCTGAGGCAGGAGAATTGCTTGAACCCAGGAGACAGAGGTTGCAGTGAGCCGAGATTGCGTCACTACACTCCAGCCTGGTGATAGAGTGAGACTCCATCTCAAAAAAAAAAAAAAAAAAAAGAGAAAAAGAAGAATGAAACATTTAACGGGGACTCACAAACAGAACCAATGTCCTGGGCAGCTACCAGATGAGATAGTGGGTCCCCAGCCAACACCCCACAGACCCAGGATGATGAGATGGTGGATCCCCGGCCACCACCCTGCAGACCCAGGACGATGAGATGGTGGATCCCCAGCCAACACCCTGCAGACCCGGGGCTTCTACCCACAGGGAAGGGCCTTCCAGGACAATTGAAGTCAACCCTTCAAGGAAAGGCAAGGTCGCTGTGTGACTCTGCCTGAGGGCAGCATTGTGGTTGAGGTTGTTTTGACCTGAGGGCAGGATTTATGGAAACAGTAGATAAAGTAGAAATCTTAGAGGAATTTGTCAATGAAAAGGGTCAAACTCTGTAAAATATTTGAAGTGACTTATTCTGAGCCAAATATGAGTGACCAATGGTCCATGACATAGTTAAGAGATCCTAAGAACATGTGTGCAAGGCGGTCAGACTATAGCGTGATTTTATGCATGTTAGGGTGACATAAGGCATCAATCAATTGGTTAGGTCTGGGAAGGCAGGACAACTGGAAGGGGGTGCTTCCAACTCATTGGTGGAGTCAAAGATTTTCTGATTGGCAATTGGTTGAAAGAGTCTATCTAAAGACGTGGAATCCATAGAAGGGAGTGTCTGGGTGAGGATAAGGGGCTGTGGAGACCAAGGTTTTTATTATGCTGATGAAGCATCCAGGTAGCTGGCTTTGGAGACAATAGGTTGTAAATGTTTCTTATCAGACTGAAAAAGGTGCCAGACTCAGTAAATTCTCTCCTGGATCAGGGAAAAGACTTGGAAAGGGAACACGATTCTCTACAGAATATGCGGGTTTTCCCCATGAGAGACAGCTTTGCAGGGCCGTTGCAAAATATGTCAAAGAAATAGATTTTAGGGTAAAATACTTTGATTTCTTTCAGGGCCTGCTCTCTGTCACGTGATGCTAAACTAGAGTCAGGCTGGAATTTGGTGTCTTACTGCTACAAATTCTTCAGGTCTCTGTTTAATATTAATGTTGATCACTTGTGCCTGAATTCCAAAAGGGGGAGGGTGTCATGAGTACGTCCAACCCACCCCATCCCAACATGGCCTGAACTAGCTTTTTAGGTTTACTTTGGAATGCCCTTGGCTGAGAGGAGGGGTCCATTCAAATGGTTGGAGGGACTTAGAACTTTATTTTTGGTTTGCCCATTCCTGGAGCTGGGGTTAATCAGAAGCCAACATGTTGGATTAGCATATGAGATGGAGCTGCTCTATCCTGCTCACGAATGGTCACATGCGAACATTTAAGGTGTGAGTGTGGTTTAGTACATGCACATACGTTTGAGGTGTGAGTGTGGTTAGTACATGCTGAGGGCTCCCGGGCTGACCCACCACACTTGCCGTACACCATGTCAGGCTGCGTACTCCATCTCTGTCAGGTTTTGTTCATCTTAACTAGAAATCTCTACTGAGGAAGAGTCTAAAATGATTTCAAATCCTTCGTGGCAGTGGCTGCTATTCCGGAGCCTGACGCCTCAGACAGCAGGACGGGGTGGGATGGCTCACGTGCCTGTAATTGGCAGCTGACCCCAGGGCCGGCGGTGGCTTCTGCCTCGCCATTAGGACGCCTCCCGGACTCAAGTGAGGCTGGCAGAGCCCCCATGGGGACGCGGCCATCCCCTGTCCTCCCGGCAGACATCACCACATTAAGCGGGAGGGGGCAGCTCCACAGGGGCTGCAGAGGAGGGTCAGAGGGAGTCACATCCTGTGCCCCCCACCTGTACGACTCAACCCACCAGGAGGCCTGGGGGCCCTTGTGCGTGGAGAGGAAGTGTGGCACTGGAGGCTGCACTCACACCCGCCTGTCACAGGAGCCAGGGCGAGTCCAGCAGGGGTCCAGGCTCGTGTCCCCCGGTACTCCTCAAGCCTGGACACACTAACTCGCACCGAAGCCCCTGAATCTGCAAAATAATCGCCAGGTGTACGACTTCCTGACTCTCAACAGCCGCCGGATGTACATTTTCATCTGATTTTCAAGTCTTAAAGCTTCTGATTCACACTCCAGACATTCCATTTCAATCAGCTTCCCAGGATCCTGCAGATATACACAGTTTTTGAAAAGATAGAGATCTGTAAGGGCTTGTGCCAGCACATTCATGAATCCCAGAGGCATTTAAAAATATGACTAGGTAGAGGCTTAAACAATACAAGTCATACGATGACACACAGACACCTACGACGCAGAGGTTTAAGTGAGGAAGTCATGTTTTCAGCTACACCAACTCCGGCCTCTGCCTGCAGGCCCTACCGCCTGAGAGCGGCAGGGGAGGGTCCTGACTTTGCCCTTTTCAGGGGCCTTGTCCCGGCTCCCAACACCCGGTACCCAGGCCTCAGCCAGGCTGCTTGGGGGCCCAGGGCTGCGCTGAAGTCTGGGAAGCGATAAGCAAAGGCCACGCTGGGAAGAAGGGCACTCTACCTCCTTTCTCCGGGGCTTGCTGAGCTCGGGAACACGTCCCCAGGCCTCTGTGGCCCTTACAAAGCTGGGAGGAACATGTCGCTGTCATCCAAAGACCACACCCCAAACCTGCCCCCGCGGAGGGGTGACACTCCTAAACCCGCCTCCTGGCACGGTGGGTGCAGGTCTTCTGGACACAGGAGACTCAAGCTCCTAGCTCAGAGCGCAGGTGCTGAGGCTAGCTGCCTTTCACAAAACAACAGACACAGACGTCCCAAGAAGCAGGTCTCTCAGCAGCAGACTCCTCCGTCCCGGAGCGGGTCCTCGGCAGCAGACGTCCGTGCGATGGGAAGTACTCTGCAGCACCTCAGGCGGCTGCACCGCAGTCCAGCACGCTTGGGCCTTGGTGCCGGCCAGGATGGAGAGCGCAGAGGCCGCCGCAGGCTGTGCCCTCGCCTGTCCAGCAGCCGCAGGCCTCCATGCCACTGAGGAAGCCACGCCAGGCTTCACAGGGGTCAGAAAAAGAGCTCCATGCTTCCCACATGGTCACGGATCTTAAAACTCTTTATGGGGTCCTACAGGTCCGGCTGCCTGCCTGGTTAAATTGGCTTCCACTATCTACTCAGGCAATCGAAATGTATGGACGGTGGATAGCCCTTTTAAATGTACCAAGGCTTCAAAATTAAAACCATTCATATCCTTAACATTAGTGAGCTTTAATTCAAACTAAATCCCATGAGATCCTGAATGTCTACTAGGAGGCTGGCAGGGATAACAAGCCTCCCAGCAGAATGTTCTCTCAGAGAAGGTCGCCACCAGCGGTGAGATAGGAGGTAAATAGAGGCTGGGGCCTGAGGGATGGGCAGAGGCCAACCGGGCAAAGGGCCAGGAGAGCGTCAAGCCAGTGGTGAGGGACACGCCCGCAGCTACGGGCGGGTGGCGGCAGAGCTGGGCTACAGGAGCAACTCCACGGCAGCAGGTCAAGCCCGGGAGCCTAAACTGGGATACACAAATATTGCTTTGAGTCTCCACAGCAGCCCTCGGAGATGAGTCCTGTTACTGCTGCCATTTTGCAGCGACAAACCCTGAGGTGCAGGGAGCTGAAGGAAGGGCTGATGGGGAGGAGGAAGTGGGGCCGGACCCAGGCGTTCCACAGTCATTCTGAACTGGGGACACTGCGCCATGGAAACCCAGAAGATGGAAATGGGGCCCACAGAAGCCAGTAAAGGGTATCAAACAGGAGCGCCTCTCCCCATCACGCCTCATCTCCCGTACTGCATGGGCTGTCAGTTTCAGCCTTGACCACGCTTCCCGCCTGTCTCTCATGCCACGTGAACTGCACTCTGTTCTGAAACCATTTCCAGATCAGCACAGCCTCAGTGTGACTGGCCGCCCCCCCGCATGGAGCCAATGGCCGCAGCCCCTGCACCAGCCTGGACGACTCCGGCTTTACGACACTGTGGTAACCTGGGGCAAAGCACAGAGCAGGTGTCAAGGAAGACACTACTAGGATTCCCCAGCAACGCGAATGCACCCGAGGGTCCCCCTTCACTCTCCGTGTAAAGCGACACACTCAGTTTGCTCAAAACCACCCGCTGAGCAAACTGATCACATTGTCCCTGGGCTTCAGGCAGGGCCTGTGGCAGTTCCCAAAAAGCATCAGCAAGTCTGACGTATTCAGTCTTACACCTTTGGTTGTGTGAAGCTTTTTCTGGAGGGCGGTTCTCTAACGGCATTTAAAATATTGAAAAGTGGAGCATCTCAGCTCATTTCATGTAAATACACTCATCTTAGGGAAAAATCTAATGCAGAAAAATGTTTTAGGCAACAAAATGTTCACTGCAGCCTCTCTTTATGTAATTAGCAAAACATGATACAGTAGCCTCTTCTCTGAGAGATATGTTTCAAGACTCCCAACCTAGTGGAGGCCTACAACGTGGAGCAGTCCCAACCCAATGTACACTGTGATACTTTTCTAGACAGAAATCCCTATGATAAACTCACCTCTAAATTAGGCACAGTACGATATTTATAACAATAATAATAAAATACAATCATAACACTATGCTATAATAAAAGTGATGTGGCTGTGGCCTCTCCCTCAAAATACCTTACTTTATACTGTAGGTGCCTGCAGGTAGCAAACTGCAGAAAGTGAACTGTGGGTAATGAGGCATGGCCGGTGTGACTTACACGTCCAATAATGAGACTGCTGGAGAATGTTCCAGATCATTAGCATCATGACATTTTACACTGTCCGTAAAGTGGACTCTAGAAACAACTGTGGTGCTGTGACCCAGGCCACACAATAAAGGTAAAGAGAAATGGGCAGGTGTAAAATTGTAAACACCATCTGACCACAGTTGTAATAAAACACAGGTAGGAAAGACGGCAATGTGCCAACCACTGACTGAAGCCCTCTGGGGCTACGGCCTTGTGAACTGCTTTTTCCTTTCTTTGCCTTTTTGTCCAAATGCACGGTGAGCAGCCTCCCATCCCCAGGCAACAGTGTCATAAAGCCACTTACTTTGCTTTCCATCTTCTTGAGGTCTGAGAGGCAGTCAGAGGAGATCTCCATGCATTTCAAGGTCAAGGAAAAACGTGCCAGTTCAAAAAGCAAAAGCATTCTGCAAACAAACAAACCAGCCAGCACCGGCCTGGCCATGGGGCAGCAACATGGCTGCACGTGAGAATCCAGGTTCCCATTCAAGCAGAGGCAGGAAAGAAAGGTAGGATAAGAAATACATAAAATTAAATTAATTAGTAGAACAGAAGCCCTGCGGGGAGGTCCCAGCAGGGCTTTAAGCTACAGCATCAGAGCCTGGTGTCCCGGCCAGCACAGTGTGGAGGCCGGCCCAGCCGGTCCCTACTGACGCCTGCTCCTCACTCTCCAGGCCTTCAGGTCATGTGCAGAACCCAGGGGAAGCACAGGGAGGATGACATGCGCATCTAAAGCCATGTCTCACAGCAGCTCAGACTCCACGCCTGCAGCCTAGCGTAGGCCAGAGGACATGCAGGGAAGAGGCAGGTTCCTCACCACACAGAGCCTGAACCTTCCCCTCCCCACACAGAACCTGGGCCTTTCCTCACACTCCCACACAGAGCCTGAATCTCCCCACACTTCACACAGAGCCTGAATTTCCCCACACTCCCTCTACACAGAGCCTGACCTTCCCCATACTCCCCACACAGAGCCTGGGCCTCCCTCCTCTCCATACAGAACCTGCCTTCCCACACTCCCGAGACAGAGCCTGGGCCTTCTCCTCCCCACACACAGCCTGGGCCTTCTGCTCCCAGCACAGGGCCCGGGCCTCTCCTAGCACTCCCCCACACACAGCCTGGGCCTTCCCTCCCTCCCCACACACAGCCTGGGCCTTCCTCCTCCCCACACACAGCCTGGGCCTTCTTCCTCCACACACAGATCCTGGGGTTTCGCCCTCCCTACATGAGAGCCTGGGCCTTCCTACTATGCGCACAAGCCCGTAGGCACCGCCAACCGACCTGCAGTCACCAATCAGGGTCTGCGAGAAATGATAGGCTGAGGGGCTAAACTTGTATCCACTCCTCTAAAGACCCACAGTGCTCCAGACAACCCCCAAGAAAGAACAGAGGGTGCACTCAGCTCTCCTCTACAAGGCTTCCTGTTGAGCTGCAGGGATCAGGATCATGCTCCTGGGGTGGAGATTAGGCCAGGGCTTCTCCGGATGGCTCTCTTCCGGGAGGAGCCTGCCCGCTGGTGTCCCTGCAGCTACCCACAGTGTTCCAGACATTGCCAAATGTCTCCAGGGAGCAGGTCTACATGTCTTCTGGCTGTCTCCCGGAGTGATCACAGTCTTCCGGGAATACATTGGCGGCTGCAGGGCAGTGACCTGGGCCCTCGCCCCCCAGTGTGTGACTATCCTCCCTGCATCCCTGGGGAGCTGTGGGCAGGAGGCGGCTTTGGGGTGGGGTGCAGATGCTTCTCCGCCCCTCGTCCCCTGCCCACCTCCCTCCCCCTGCTCTGTTGGCCCCCAGGTCCTGGCAGGCCTGGCATTGGGTAACACTGGCCTCCGTCCTACCTGAGCTCCAGCACACAGGCCTGCTGGGCAGGGCAGGAAGAGAGAATCAGAAAAGTGGCTGACAATGTCGCCTGTGGACAGACCTCCTGAACAGGGCTATTTACACTGGTCCTGAGACCTGCTCGCCGGAGCGCCTGGCCACAGAAGGGGACGCCGGCCAGGCCACAGCCACGCTCGGCCAGACTTCAGTTAGCACCACTTGGAGGGTCTGATGGAAGACGTCAACTCCTTCTGAACAACGATTCCACACACGTCCCCATGCATATATGCACTATACCTCCTGAAAACAGACCCACCAGCCGGGCTGGCCCTGTGCCCTCCAGGCCAATTTTACACTGTGTCCTGGGGCCTCCCCGAGGAGCCTACAGCTGAGCAGCGGAGACTCAATGGCAGTTAGCGGTGCCACCTCCCTGATGAGACCACGAATGAGCTGGCATCTGGCGCCCCTCACTGGCACTGATAAAGCAAGCTGCCCCACCAGGACCGAGCCTGACCTCGCTGGCACTGATAAAGCAAGCTGTCCCGCCCAGACCGAGCCTGACCCCTCGCTGGCACTGGATAGCCAAGCTGTCCCGCCCAGGACCGAGCTCTGACCTCTCACAGCACTGGGATAAAGCAAGCTGTCCCGCCAGGACCGAGCCTGACTCCCCGCTGGCACTGATAAAGCAAGCTGTCCCGCCAGACCGAGCCTGACTTCTCGCTGGGCTGGCACTGGGATAGCAAGCTGTCCCACAGACCGAGCCTGACCCTCGCTGGCACTGATAAAGGTTAACCTAACAGATCGAACTCTGGATCCACAGGAACCGAGTCCTCCTAATGACTCCCGTGAGCTTGGGGGCTCCTCTTCCTGTCCAGCCCCTGAGAAGAGACCTCTGTGACCACTCAACACTGTGGCTGTTGCTGTGCCTAGGTTCCTGTCCCACAGACACGGCAAAGGTCATGACCAGCTCTGTTCTGTCTCCACTGACACGGTGGAGGTCATGGACCTGCACTCAGGTTCTGGTCCCTCAGACACGTGAGGTCACGGATAAGCACCTGGGTTCCATCCCACAGGGCACAGTGAGGTCATGGACCCGCGCCCAGGTTCCCATCCCGCAGGCACGGCGAGGTCATGGACCTGTGCTCCTGGTTCCCTGGCCCCGCTGACACGGCGAGGTCATGGACTCCACACCTGGGTTCCCGCCCCGCAGGCGAGGCGAGAGGTCATGGACCTGTGTTGTTTCAAGCTGCTAAGTTTGTGGTACTTGTCATGCGGTTGCAGATAACTAATACACTCCTCTCTGTTAGTGTCCCCACAGTAGGCTACCAGAAAACCTAACAGACAATTTCAGCCCGTATCGCTTTACTTGTTTCTACCTCTTAAAAAAACACACAGTGCTATCACGCGCAGGTGCAAAGTCGCTTCTCTGGGGCAGGGGACCCCCGACTCCACCCGCACTCCATGAAGGCAAAACCGCCAGCTTCCATGTGTTTGAAAATCTCAGGCTCAGTTTCCTGCTTCCAGATACCACAGCCTGACTTACCCAAATCCTCAACAGTGCCTGAGACTGAGAAAGCACAGAAGCCAAACAAACCAGCCTGAAAAGGCTCCAGAGAAACCTGTTCTCCCCACCCACAAAACGCCATGCAACCTCACCAGAACAGTGAGAGGTGCCACGGTGACCTAACCATCCATATGCTTACAAACTAAATTCATGTTAAAAAGTAGGGTGAAAGTGTTCGCAAACAGTACAAATCTCGCCACAAAAGACCAGAGAGGAACTTACTAAAACCTCTCCAATGGTATGGCTATTGGCTTTTGCAAAGGTCGTTTGTTGCTTGTTTTATATCTTTTCACATTTTTCAGAGCCTGCTAAATTTTGTACAATGATTATGAAGAAGTGATACTGGAAAAAGACACACACTTACTTTTCTTCTCTGATGGAAGGAAAGCTACTGGTGGTTGTAATGACTTAAGTGTCTATAGGTGGCCTTCTCAGAATGACACTGACGTCGCCTGGCAAATCATTTGCTCTGCTTTTCTAGAAATAATTCAGTAGAGAATAATTCACCACAAGCATCTTACAGATTTATTCAAATTCTCCTAAGAGAAACTCTGTGTGTATGAAACTGTGTTTCCACTGGAAGAGGAGACTGAAAATAACTCCCTCCTGCTTTCTTTCTCAAATTCCTGGAGATGACTTCACCCCTTCCCCTGGTCCTTCCTTCCTCCATGATGCCTGGCCTTCCACAAGGCTGAATAGAAACGCTTAGACAAGACATGCCCAGACCTCACAGAGCCAGCATCCCACATAGGAGCTAAACACGGAAATTTGGGTCGCCTTCTGCTCAACGGTGATAGACCTGGATCAGCATTGCTCTTCACAGGGATGCTGGCCATAGGACACAAAATCTGTGGATCTCGGCCACCGACCTCGGCACCCAAACACACCGTGATCTCCTCACTCCCCTCATCATCCAAACACATGGCGATCTCTCACTTCATCATCCAAACACACCGTGATCTCCTCATGACCTCAGCATCCAAACACACCGTGATCTCCTACTCCCCTCATCATCCAAACACATGGCGATCTCCTCACCCCCTCAGCATCCAAACACACGGCGATCTCCTCACTCCCCTCAGCATCCAAACACACTGCGATCTCCCCACTCCCTCAGCTCCCCAAACACACTGCGATCTCCTCACTCCCCTCGGCCCCCAAACACACCGCGATCTCCTCACTCCTCGCCCCAAACACACTGCGATCTTCTCACAGACTCTCAGCATCCAAACACACCGCACCTCTCCTCACTCCCCCAGCTCCCCAAACACACCGCAATCTCCCTCACTCCCCTCAGCATCCAAACACACCGCGATCTCCTCACTCCCCTCATCATCCAAACACACCGTGATCTCCTCACTCCCCTCAGCATCCAAACACACCGCGATCTCCTCACTCCCCTCAGCCTCAAAACACACCCCAATCTCCCTCACTCCCCTCAGCATCCAAACACACCGCGATCTCCTACTCCCTCATCATCCGCTAAACACACCGTGATCTCCTCACTCCTCATCATCCAAACACACCGCGATCTCCTCACTCCCTCAGCTCCCAAAACACAACGCCGATCTCCTCACTCCTCAGCCCCCCAAAACACACCGCGATCTCCTCACTCCTCGGCATCCAAAACACACCGTGATCTCCTACTCCCCTCATCATCCAAAAACACACCACGATCTCCTCAATTTCCTCATCATCCAAACACACGATCTCCTCACTCCTCGGCCTCCAAACACACCCGCGATCTCCTCACCCCCTCGGCCCCCAAACACACCGCGATCTCCTCACTTCTCGGCCCCCAAACACACCAAGTATCTCTCACAGACCTCAGCATCCAAAACACACCGCGACCTCACCTCATCATCCAAACACACCGTGATCCTCTACTCCTCGGCCCCCCAAACACACTGCGATCTTCACAGACCTCAGCATCCAAACACACTGCGATCTCCTCACTCCCCTCAACATCCAAATACACCGTGATCTCCTACTCCTCAGCCCTCAACACACCGGCAATCTCCTCACTCCTCAGCATCCAAAAAAATACACCGCGATCTCCTCACTCCTCATCATCCAACACACCGTGATCTCCCCTACTCCCTCATCATCCAAACACACCGCGATCTCCCTCACCTCAGCCCCCAAACACACCGCCATCTCCTCACCTCCTCAGCCCCCAAACACACTGCGATCTCTCACCCCCTCGGCATCCAAACACACCGTACCTCACCTCATCATCCAAACACACCACGATCTCTCACTCCCCTCATCATCCAAACACACCGCGATCTCTCACTCCCTCGGCCTCAAAAACACACCGCGATCTCCTCATCCCTCAGCTCCCAAACACACTGCGATCTTTCTCACAGACTCTCAGCATCCAAACACACCGCGATCTCCTCACTCCTCATCATCCAAACACACCGTGATCTCCTCACTCCTCGGCCTCAAACACACTGCGATCTTCTCACAGACCTCAGCATCCAAACACACTGCGATCTCACTCCTCAACATCCAAAAACACACCGCGATCTCCTCACTCCCTCTCGCCCCCAAAACACACTGCGATCTTCTCACAGACCTCAGCATCCAAACACACTGCGATCTCTCACTCCCCTGCATCCAAACACACCGTGATCTCCTCACTCCCCCCGCCCCCAAACACACCGCGATCTCCTCACTCCCCTCATCATCCAAACACACCGCGATCTCCTCACTCCCAGCCTCAAACACACCGCGATCTCCTCACTCCTCAGCATCCAACACACCGCGATCTCTCTTCACTCCCCGCATCCAAACACACCGCCATCTCCTCACTCCTCAGCTCTCTGAAACACACTCCGTGACTCTCACTCCCTGCACCCAAACACACGGCGATCTCCCTCACTCCTCACAGCATCCAAAACACACGGCGATCTCCTCATACAGAGACCTCAGCATCCAAACACACCGTGATCTCTTCACTTCTGCACCCAAACACACTGTGATCTCCTATGCTCTTCTGCAACCCTGGCTTAAAGCCGCCTTCTCCCTTCCGCAGTGGCCTCACTGGCCTCCTCCCTCCGTGCTGAGTGGAGGCAAAGCATGAATGTGGGTGGGCCTTCAGATCCTACACCTGAGAGGCGTCCCAGGCTCCCACTCTCCAGCTCCACTCACTGCAACTCCAGACTCAGCACAATTGGACAGGACCTCCCCCATGGAGGGGACAGAGCGCTCCCAAGCTCAGCACTGTGAAACTCATTATTTGCTCTCCCTCCCAAAAATGACTTACGCTTTTAGCATATTAATATAGAAAGTGTATCGACAGGCTAATGGAATTTTTCTTTTCCTTTAACTAAGTTCATTCCATTAATCTAAGATTTAACCTATCATAAAATCTTTTTTTATTGAAGAGATTATTAATCTGGATTCAACAATTAGGTAAAGGTTCAGATTTGTGTCTAGATTTTATTTTCTCATTAATTAAATTTTGTATTTAGTTTTTCAGATACAACTTGGGTTGATTCTATATGTCAAAATGAATCGCTGATGAATGCTTTTGGTACATATTCTTGTAGTAATTACTTGTTTCTTTAGAATTTTCTTTATTAATCTCCAAAATCTAAAGTCATTACAAAGGAAAATTCAAAGAGCTTATTTATAAAGGCAAAAGACCCTGTTTTGCTTTCAAAAATGTCACACAGTTCTATACATTGGATGAACTGGCTATTTTTTTAATATGTTTATATATATTTTGTTCATGTATCTATGCATATATATTTTTATATCTCTCAGCAAACTTATCTAATTTCTATGCAGTTTTCTCAACAATGACTTTTAAGAAAAGTACTTCCTATGTCTCTATTTCCAATACGCTGATTTACGCACTGAAATATCTGTCGGTATTTGCGGCACGTGAGATTTGATGAACGGAGCGGTGGAGAACTCCGGCAGCTCTCCCTTTCTTCCAGCTTGCAGGTAACACTCCAGAAGCTCCCCAGATAGCCGTGACACACGCCACTGGTCAACCTGCTTGAAACTGTTTTCTCCTCTCTAATAACCAGGTTATTAAACCATTATATATTTTGTGTTTTACAACTTTAAAAGCTACCTCCCGCTGTCAGCTTCTTCAGCCAGAACCAGGCCGGGTGTGTGGCTCACTGAATCACAGCAGGCGCCAGATAGCTCATATCAATAGCACCGGGCGTTTGAAATGAAAGATCTGCATTGATATTCTTCAAAGGTTCCCAAAAGGCTATATAGCAGGTAATCACACCTGCAGGTGGCTCTGGGGTTCGGGCCCGAGGAGGGCCACTCCTGAGCCGACACAGCCGGGATCCTCACCGGGACATCCACTGTATCCCCAGCCTGCACAGAGCTCCACAGACACTGGGCCCATTCTTCTCTGCCGCCCCAGCACAGTGACTTCGAGGCATTGGTGACAGTCTGCAGTGACCCCTCAGGGCTAAGGCCAGGCAAGGCCAGCCTGCCCCAGCTGCCCCAGCCTGCAGGGCTTGCCCGACATGCTGACTCGCTTAGTTTTATGCGTTGTTAAAACAGAATTTACCCCACCCCCCTACTGTGGCTGCAGCTGGAGAGCTAAGATTTTAAATCAGAGCCAGCCAGTGGCGTAGGTTACATCTGCTGAGTCTAAACACAGTATCTTGTTCTGTTGTCATAACCTCACAACTAGGCACGGTAAACAAGTCATCTACAGATTTTGGGAAACAACCTTCGGACAAGACAACAGAAACTTGTGACTGTGGGAGAAAACGCACACGGAGTGGTGGCCCCAGTGATGTGGAACGCCCCATCCGCCCGCCAGGAGAAGGGGTGGTGGCTCCCAGTGAGCTCGGAGGGCAGCTCACTGGGAGGCCACGAGGCACAGCGAGCCTGGGCCAACCCACAGCATCAGCTCGCGCGTGCCACCTTGTTGTCTTCTCCTCCCTCGGTCTGACTCCAGCACGCTTACAATTTGGGAAAGGCTGGGGATCAGATGGTGCGCTGTTATCCAGGCTCGAGGAACGCCTCACCACCCGCGCAGAGGACTGATGCATTGTACACCAAAAAGTAATAATACTCTACAGCACAAGCAGAGGACGTGGAGACCGTGTGGTCAACGCTAGCCAGCCCAAGCTGCAAAACTAAGGGGGCTAATACTGTGTCTCCAGAGCTCCTCCCAGGAGGGGCCTCAGGTCCTCCCCCAGCAGACGGCAGCAGCCCCATCTGAGAAGCTTGGCCTTGCCTTTGCAGGAGCACCAGGATGCAGAGCTTTCCCCGGGGACAGTCTTGGGCGCCCCGGCAGTCCAACGTGCCATGGCTCTAGTGCAGGCCCAGCTGTGATGACCCGGCCACAGGCTCCCAAGTCCAGACCAGGCCTCCTTCCCTCAATCATTCCCCACACAAACGG